CCTTCAAAACATCGCTCCCACCGGCGCGTTCGTGCTCTTTCCGGGATATCGAGTTTGAGCCCTTCGATCGTGTCTGTGGCCACCCGAAGACCGAGACCAACAAAAAAACACCAAGCTGCACGAAGAGTGTTGGGCCTGCTTTTTTGGCTACGTGGCTCCTGTAGAAACTCGTCGTAGGCTCCGATGAACTTGAAGAAGTCGTTGAGGCTCGGGAGCCTCAAAAAGAAGTGGAGGATGGTCTTAGCCACATGCTGCAGGCTGGGGCCGAGGAGAGGATGGGGATGACGAGCGTAAGCTGAGAGCGTGGAGAGTGAGAGACAGATCACGAGAGTGCGGCGCTCCGGTCTGCACCACTCTGCTCTGCTCGTACTGCTCCGCTCTCTCAGCCGGCGACTGTCCCAAGCAGAAGGGCGTGTGGCAGTGCTCCTGCTCTCTCTCCCTCTCTCCACGTCTTGTGTATTCAATCGCCACTCTCGGGAACGCAGGACGGTCGTGCTTTCCTGCAGCGCGATCTCGACGATCTGAGCGGCGCAGGCAGCAAAACAAAACAGAATACCTGTCTGTTCGCGTAGTCCTACTGTGGGCTACATCATGTTAAGACTGCCCGTTCCCTAGCTTCGAGGGCTGCAGGAGCCGGTGTGGGCCCTGCCACAGAGGACACCCAAAATGAGGACCAGGTGGAGCCAGTCCTCTTCATGAATGGCCTCGACCGCAATTCGATCCTGCGATCCTCCCCGATCTGCGCCCTGCGCCGGCTGCTCGGTAAGCAGGGGCAGCAGAGTCCGACGTTACCTGTCTAGACTGCATAGACTGCATAGCTAGCCCAACGCGATTCATCGCTCTTGAGCTGAGTTGCAGGGGAAGACCCGCGAGTGGCACCTGCCAAGAGTGGCCAAGAGCGGCCCAATTGGGGCCGTCAGAGGCGCATATCTGTCCTGGTACAGCAAGCACCCTGGCAGCGACATCGCTCCGGCTGTCCTCCGGACGCAGGGATCACTGTAAGAGCGGGGAATTTGCTTCTGCTGCCGTTGCTTGAGGGCAGCTTCCCGACATCCCCTCCCCCGGTCTCTTTGCACAGCCCGGAAATCTCATGTTGCAGTCCGAATGACGAAGTCGACAAGGACGGTTTGCAGCGCTGCTCGCAGAGCGCTGCTCGCAGCCAGCTCACAAGTCGAGGCACCGAGCTCGGCTTTCGGGAACCGCTGCCCCAGCCGGCCACCCGGTTGCTTTCATCGCCAGAAGCCTCAAAAAACCTGCAGCCTCCCGTTATCAAGGACCTCAAAGGACCCTACAAGTACTACCCTGACCGGGTTATAATGGGTTAAGCTGAAGTCTGATTCGATCCGTTGCGCGCTGAGCTGGAGAACATGTATCGGGGTCAAGCCGGGTCGTCAAACCAGGTGTTTCCCGTTCGACGGGAAAGCCCGGAATTATGTACGGACTGTACGGGCAGCAGGGCTTCAATCCCAGAGTCCAAGTCTCTTTCTGCGCTTGCACAGGCATTGGCAACTCCACGCTTCAGTCGTGGCGGAACCAGAGCGTCCCTCGCGCCGCCTCGGACGGCACTCCGTCGAGACATTCTGAGTTGCGGCTGAGCCACGGGCGCTGTACCGAAGGGGCATCTGGGTCATCAGATCCTCGCTTCAGAAAGCTGTGATTGTGCTCTTCGCTTGGCCTGCACTCCGCCTGCCTGACCCAGCAAGGCCACAGGCCCATCGAAGTCCCCAATGGTCTCTTGCGGTTGCGACAGTAGCTCCTGCAACTTTAGAGGAGGAAGCTTCGCAGATGTGTACAAGCGAGCCTTGATGATGCATGCAGGGACGGATGTGTGTACCCAATGCATGTACTTATGTGTGTTTCGTGGCTCAACACCGCGCTTTGGTGCTCTGCCAGGACATCGCCGCTTCTATGAACTTTCAAGCTACTTTTGCTTCAGAGTCGAATGAGTGCTGCGCTACTTTCGGGTAGTTTGCGTGATTCCCGGAGATAATGGTAGCGGAGCAGGTGATGACAATTTCAACGGAAAGCTTCGGCTTTGGGCACATCTGTCCACATGGGAGGCAACGAATCTTGCCATCAAGCTTCTGAGGTGTGGTACGGGAAGCACCGGCAGTCGTCCGGAAGAGTAGTCATGACAAATGAACATTGCTTTGGCGTTGGCGCGAGGCACGCCTTCAGAGTGCGCTTGGCATGATGCAAGGTATCCATCGAGGTCGCCCAAAAAGATGTTGGCGACCAGCTGGACCATCGATTATCACACCATCCTCCGGAGCTATGCTCCGACCAGTTAGTCCCTTCTCTCTCGGCTTCTGGCTTTGTGGCTGTTTTGATCTCCCGCGCTCGTCGTGGTCCTTGGCCTTTGTTTGCAAAGGACTCATTCTCCGTAGGTCCTGACATGCCCTCAGATAAATCTCGGACTTCCTCGAAATGTAGTCATTGCGATGCTCTCTCCCGACCTCCCTTCAAGTAGCGGCTCAGATCTCAGATCTGAAACCTGTCGTCGTCCCAGACTTGAGCTCAGGTGGTTCAACATGTCCTGCACTCCTCGAAAACATGTCTTTTGGCCGTCCCTTGTAGTGCTGCTGCTAACTTTGGTCCGCAAGGGTAAGCTTTCTTCCATGCTGCACCCTGTTCCCAAAGAACGCACAAATCTTCATGTTTCTGAAGGGTGGCGGCGTGGAAAAAAACGCCATTCCAAGTAGGCGGCACATGCCGGCCGCGTGCATTTTCCTTCCCGGTCATCATTTCGTCTGTAGGAGCCGTATCGTACAGGCGCTCAAGATGCCTGGATCACTGGCTCTGTCAAGCTTTGTCGGGCTCCGCCCGGGGGCGGCTGGTGCAGGTAGGCATGGCTCAATGACTGATCGGAGAAGCGTGTGAGGTAGTAGTGTTGAAAGACGGTGCAGAACAACGGCCCTCAAGCCCACCCCTCGGCTTTGAGCAACCTGCGAAGCCGTACTTCGAGCTGAGCAGTGCCTGCGCTCTCCACTTGCACGGTGTTGGGGAGTAGAAGCCTGTTGGTCGGCTCGGGTGCTTGTCATTGAGGTCGTAAGCCCTTGGAAGAGCGTAGAAATCTCTGTCTCACTGCCCCTGCAAAGTAAGACGGCGGAGGAGGCTGCTCGAGAGGGGCAGCTCGGTGGAGGATGAACGCCCAAAAGACCAAGGTTGCACGGAAGGAGGAGCAGGGCAGGTCCGGTGAAACACAGTGGGCAGGGCACTTGAAACCCCACAAGTTCAGAGCTAGCACCCTCTAACACAAGCCAAAGCCACTCCGTCCTGCGACACATCGCAGGGGGTCGCATCCAGCAGCTCAAGATCTTCATCGAAAACGTTCACAGATCACTTCCAAAGTTCAAGACTTTTTACGGCTGTCCGGTAAAAGCAGTACCTGCATGATCATATCGGGTCAAAGGGCTCTTTCGGGCAGTTATTGACGAGTAACGGAGAATAATTACCTAGCATCCTTGTCTTGGCTTCAAGGACCCTTTCGTTGTGTAGGAGGTTTGTAAAGCAAAGCGAGATGCGAGTAGATCTTTCGGGGTACTATCTATGTGTAGATACACACACACAAAAATGCATATATATATATATACATATATATATATACACATATATAATACACATACATACATACATACATACATACATACATACATACCTACATACCTACATACCTACATACCTACATACATACATACATACATACATACATACATACATACATAAATACTTGGATACCAAAGATGCATGCGCTTGCATGCACGGAACAGGTGCATATACACACACACAGACAGACAGACAGACGGGCATGTCCCAGGTCTCCAACTGTACTAGGAGCTGGAACAGCGGCACATTCGAACAGCTACAACAACAGCTCCCCAAAAAAAATATAGAGAGAGAAGGCTGTGTGTTAGTATGTATCTGTGTGTGCATCTTGATATGCATTGGCACATGTGTAAACCTGGCGGAGGATCACCCAAGTGACTTGTCTCGAGGCCATCCGCAGAGCTTCCATGGAGATACAGTGTCTTATTGCAGGCTTATTCTTGCGGCAGGTCTTTTGGGCTCCGTCCTGGAACAAGCCGATGTCACCAACACCAACATCCACTGCCTCCGGGAACGTGGCAATGGGACCCTTGATCCGCGCGCCTGGCCATGGAGGCTCCACGGGAACACGCTGAGACACGCAATCTTTCTTGCTCGCTGGTCATCTTCTAAAACACGGTCCCTCCAATGACGCACAGAAGGGCAAGAGGGCCCTGCCTGAGCAGGGGCAGGCAATCGTGGGGGACCCTTCGGAGACTTCGGAGTTCCGGAGTGTTGCGCTTCGTGCTCCACTCTCCTTCTCTCTCCCCTGGCGCTCTTGGGGCCGTTGCTCGGCTTGGTGTAAGCGCGCCTGTGTTGCGAAACCGCCAGGAGCGCCGCCCCTCCACGGGATTGGCACCACCGCCTCCAGCGCGCGAAGCGCGCCACGCAAAAGGAAAAAAAGCTCTGCAGAGGGGCTGCCTGGCTCGTGAGGAGCGATGCTCACGTGCCTTGAATACAATAGGAACGTGGCGGGGCACATCACAGAAAAAGAAAGCAGCACACGGGGGGAATGCAGGAAGGAAGGCGTTGAGCGGAGTGGCCGCGCGCTCGACAGGGTGATGTTGGCCAGGCTGAGCAAAGGCATCTCGAGCCTCAAAATGCCGGTTGCCGGGCCAGCAGGGCTTGCCGGGCTCCTCCCTAAACCCCGTTTCAAGCTCCGGGCACTGAATTATCCAGACCAATCCCTCGTACTTTCCTGGCAGCTAAAGCTAGGGTGACTCTCGAAGCTGTCGTGTCGTCTAGCTTTGCCTCTCTGCAGCTGCATCAACCTGAGCGGACTTGGAACTTGGAAGGCTCTCGCTTCAGGCAGCCGGCATCAAAAAGGGCACGTCGATTTTTCCACGGATGTCACTGCGTCGGCTCGTTGCACTGCCAGAGAAGCCTCAGGGACGCGCCGCGGCTCTGAGCAGAAGCAAGTCGGAACGGCAGCTGCCTCGAGGAGAGCTCAGAGCGCAAGCGCAGGCCCCCCCAGCCCCTGGCCCTCCCCCCAAAGCGTGGGCCTTCCAAAGGCTTTTCTCCTGAGCCACAGCCGAAGTGAGGGGACTGAGACGGGTGCGCAGAAGACCCAAACTCCCTCGCCCGCCTCGGCTCTTCGCGCTCGTCGCCGTTGCCGGGCTCCAAGGGACAGCGCTCTTCGAAGCTGATGCACCTTGCACTCTGGAATGACCGCGCTGTGGAGCCCAGGTTTCTTGGCCCCCGACCGGTGAGGGCACCCGCGCGCTGGCCCATCCCAGAACCTGACGAAAGCAGGAGCACCTCTCCGTGTCTCCGTCCCACCTTTGGTGCTCCGCCCGCTCTCACTCTCAGCGCGCGGCTCCAGCACCAAGGCTCGGCGCCGGCCGCGCGTCACAGGGGCGACCATGTGGTACTTGTGGGCCTCCCGCGACAAGTCGCACAGAACTTAGCACTGTGGCCGGAGCAAGACTTCTTAAGTCATTAAGCGATTCCGTGATTTGCAGGGTCATCTACGCCGATCTTCCGCAGCTAAAGGCCCTGGAAACATGCCTCAGGGCCACACAGAGACTGTCATGGATGCCGCGGGCATGACACACACAGGGCAAGCGCCGAGCGGCACATGTTGCGGAACAATCAATAGCAGTAGCAGGATAAGGACGATTCAAAAACTGACCAGTCTGACTAGTTGGGGAACAAGACCGTTCTGGTTGAAGTGGGGCTCGGAATCTCAAAAGTCTTCGGCCTGGAAGACGAGGACCTCGAGCAGGCCGAAACTCTGCTCCTGGCGCGCAGCGGAAAAGTCTCAGAGGTCGAAGGCCGGGCCGAAGGATGCCGAAGGCGAGTTCGGCCTTGAGGCTCCCATCGCTTTCCAAGGTGCGCAGCTCGCCGCCCTCGAAGTCTTCCTTGGGCTCCTCCCAATTGACGCAAATGCCTACGAATCTTGCTCCCCACACTCGCCGAGGCACGGCGCAGAGGACGTCCACGGTCACGAGACTGTCCATGTCGTAGTGTCGAGGATCCGGGATGCCCGGTCCAGGGGCCCCCTGTGCAAACGCCCCTATTCAGGCAACGCTCGCAACAACTGACGTCAGGCCAACGAGCCGCGCGCGCGCACCTGATCATGCCACTCCACGACTCTGGCCTAGGTGAAACGAAGCATTGGCCCAGTGGCACCGGGACACGGCCGGACATGGCCTGCAGCCGCTCCGCCTGGGCGGGAGTCAGCCAGTGCTCGCGGAGCCCCACAGACCTGCGCCAAAGTTCTAAATTCTAAAGTACTAAAGGGCCCTCCAAACCCCCAAACCCAAGCGCTTTGTAAGGCAGTTCTCGCCTCGCCATCTCGGCCAAGCGTTCCTGCAAGAGACGTTTCAATTTGACGTCAGGCGGTGCCCACCCCACAGGCCGCAATAACCGGGTGCATGGGGAGGGCACCAGCAGCTCCGGGGCTTCTCGCGCGAAGAAGCCGCCTGTCTGAAGGAAGCTGACCTCTCAACGACGAAAGGAGAAGCACCGCCGCCGCCGCGCTTTGCAGCATGGCGAGTCGCAGAAAGGCGGGCGGCCGCGCCTGCCAGGCCTCGGACTGCGGCGCCGAGCGCACCGCGCGGCCACAGCCCTCCGCGGCTTTCGCTGCGAGGCGCTCCAGGAATCCCAGCGTCGCCAGGGAGAGGAAGCCCGCCGACACCACCTCGTCGGATCGCGACTCTTCGCGACTTCGCGACGTGGAGGTTCCTGGCCTGACTTCTCTGCGCATCGAGCACATCGGGTGCGCCGCCTCGGACCCCTGCAGCAAGCAGCATGCAGAAGTAACCCTTGGCTCTGCCCCGGCCCCGTCCTCCCCTTGCAAGCAGCAAGTCGAACCACCGCTTCGGTGAGATGACATCCAGGAAGGAATCCTTTACACGCGACAGGCCAGGCCAGGCGCAGCTTTTATACATTCTTTCAGACTCTCTCTCTTCGCTCTGGCGCTTCCCTTCCTCTGCGCAGGTCTGGAGATCTCGTGTGAGGAGGAAGATGGAGGTCTCGGTCTCCAGGTTCGCGCTCTCGTCACTCTCAAGATCCTGACGGGGCTCACCTCCCGACTCGCACTCCTTCTCGTAACACTCCGAGAGGCTCCTGGCCTGTAGCTCAACGACTCTGAAGCCGGCAAAGGCTGCGCACAAGGCCTGCCTGGCGCCGCAGGGCGCCTGCGCTGCGCACAGAGCCCAAAGCAATCCAAAGCACGTCTCCCAAAATTCCAAAAAAAAACTTGGCCGCAATCAAAAAGCGGCCGCCGCCTCGAGCAAAATTACCGGCACCTGGCCGAGACAGCCGCTTTGGCAGAGGCGCCTCAGCGGCTCCCAGTCTGGCTGGGCCGGGCCCCGGCCCAAGGCCAGCACCGCCGCGTAGGAGCCGCTTCCGGAGCCGCTTCCGGAGCCGCTTGGGGCGGCCGCTGCTGTCGCTTCTTGCGGCGATCCCTCGCAGCCCTCGCCTTCCAGACCCAAAACGACTTGCGGCGTTCCGATGCCGCTGACCGCCAGTCGCAGGCCGAAGTGCCGCTCGGCCAACTCCAGGGCGACAGCCTCCGGCTCCAAAACTTCCACCTGCACCTCAAAAAAGACACTCAACCAGAAAACTAAACTTCCATCTAATTAAAGGGCTCAATTGCCAAGGCCTTACAGGCTTTAAGGCTACGGTGCAAGGCCTGATCATGGCACCTCTGGGACGTGCTGTGCGAGGAAGGTGCAAAGGAGCCCATCTCCCACGCCGTAGCACAGCAGGGGCAGCGGCGTTGGGACCGTGCCGCTCCTGCTCTTCGCACTCTGCGCCGCCGCCAGCGCCGCCAGGCCGGCCGCAGTGACCTCCTCCCAGCGGTGGAGCGCGCTGCCTGACAGGGCTGCGATTCGCGATCGCACTCGCGAAAAGGGCGGCCTTTGTCGGCTGCCTGCGGGGCCGAAGGAGGCGTGCCAACCGCCCTCCGTCGGGCGGAAGCCCTGCCAAGGCCCTCGATGAAGCAAACGCTGCCGGCCCAGCTCCGGCTCCAGCTCAAGCTCGCTATCAGCCGGCGCGGACCTCGCAGGCAGTTTGAAAGGCGACCCGCGGTATCCCAAGAAGAGAGGTTTTCTCTTTTCGACTTAGATTCGCACACGATGATGTCCAGCACCGCTCGGAGGTCTTTGTGGTCGCAATTGGATGCCAGGAGGAGCCGCCCGGTGCCACAACAGGGCCGATAATCCACCACTTCGACACGCGGTGAACACCAGGCCTCCTGACACATCCATGGCCTCAGCGTCGCTGCCACCACCCAGCGCCAGTCGCACTCGGCGCTCTCGGAATCGATCGGATCGGACCCGTCGGCTCCGGACCCAAACTCGGCACTTTTCCGCGTCTGCGCCTGCAGCAACGAAGCCAGCAAGCGCAGCTCTCGGAGCGCTTCGGCGGCCGAGCCCTCGCCATGCTCGAGCCTCGCCTGCCTTGCCAGGAAGAGCAGCGCCAAGGCCCCTCGCTCCACGAGTTCCAAGGCGGAGAGCTGCGCCTGCGCCGGCTGGGCGGAATCTCCGAGGCGCGGAAGCCATGTCCGAAGCTCGCGCAAAGTTCTCGCCCAATCCACCTGCCGGCCCCCTTGCGAGCCGGGCCGCATGCTGCCATCACAAGCCCATCACATCGCAGGCGATGGCGAAGGCCAAGCAGGCAAAGGAGGAGCTCGAGCCCGTAGCTGAAACACAGGCAAGGAAGCATTTCTCATTCTCACACTCGCAGCTCTTGTGGCACGGGCGCGAAGGCCCAAGACGTAGGCCGCCTGGCGGTTCAGGACCTGACGGTGGGACGGTCGCCGGGAGCCTCTTAGGGAGGCCGAGAAGGGCAGCCGGCCGTGTGCGAAGCACCGGTGTCCACGAGGCCCACGATCGGCTCCAGGCATCCCGGCACCGTCATCAGCAAACCCTCACAAAGAGACAGTGACAGAGACACAACCAAAAACCGCGTAACAACAACCAACACCAACACCACCAACACCACCAACACCACCAACACCACCAACACCACCAACAACACCAACACCAACACCAACGCCACCGCCGCCACCACCACCACCACCACCTCCTCTGACACGAGCCCAATGCACCAGCGCACATGTACAGAATGCCATGATGCTACATTGGCTCAAGACTGGACGACTGCTTGTCCGCGCCAAGGAAACTTGATTGGGGAAATAGACTGTTCACTGGTAGGAGTGATCCCAACTGTTTGTTTTGTACACTGGAATTTTGCATGGTAGCGGAGCTTCGGCTCTGGAACCAGGGAAGAGTGAGAAAGCATGGACTTTGGTGTGAGAGGAATTGGTTCCAGTGTATCACGGAGAACTGGAGAAGTGGGAGGATTGGTCTTGGCAGTTGAAGAGGTATGTAGGACCGTACAAACCAATGGCCAAAACTCTGATGGATGAGATTGAGCTGAATGCACAAAAGGTTGTCACTGATGGACTGTGCGAGGCCTATGATGTTCAGTAAGAGTGGATCGCAAAACAATCAGTTGTCAATGTTTGCTAAGCAACTGGCATACATGTTGGCACAGATCACTGATGGAGCTGCGAGAGCGATTGTTAGGAATGAAGACACAGAGAATGGCTTTGAGATTTGGCGTCGATGTACAACCAGTTCTCACTGCCCACGAAAGCTCGTGCCACGAATCTCTTGAATGAGATCATTGCCTTTCGATTGCGACATGACTATCTTGAGAGTGACCTGAGTGACTTTATCATGCTCAAGAATCGACATGAGAAGACGACTGGAGTGCCTTTGGACAATGATTTGCTGATCACGTTGATAATGCAGAAGACTACTGGTCCATTGCAGCAGCACCTGAGATTGAATGTCAGGAACATCTCGACGTTCACTGAAGCTTTGGAGATTGTGAACAGTTATGTGAAGAGCAGACATCTTGTTGTGCCAAGCAGGAAGGACCGATCACCAGACCAGTCATCGAGAGAACCAATCCACTCGTGATTCCATTCGTCATCCATCCACTCGTCACCGTACCAGCCGTACCATTCTGCATCCTGACTCTATTTATCTTGCGTTCCTTCTTTTTTCCTTCTTCCTCAATCAAGGCTGACATTCTTCTTTTTTGTTTAGGGCATTCCTTGCTCCAGTGGTTCGGATCACCACAAATAAAACATCCTTGTCCTTTTCCTTTTCCTTTCATTCCTTTTCCTCCTTTCTTTCCTTTGAAACCTTTACTCTTTCCTTTTCCTTTTCCTTTGTACATTCCTTTGCCTTTGAATCCATATTCTTTGCCTTTGCCCTTGTACAGTCCTTTTCCTTTTCCTTTGTATCCTTTCCTTCCTTTCAGTGCTCCAATATCCTGGAGTGATGGGCACTCTCATTCAGTGGCGAAACAGGGTAGTCCGGAGCAAACCATTCCGGACAACAGTTCGCGCAAGCTCCACTGTCGAACAATATCCACGACTTGTCCGTCAGTCCGGCCTGTGTATGAAACTCGACCAGTCTGTCGTCACAACTCGAAGGATCAGTCTCCGGATCATTCCGGCCAGTTACCGGCGGGACTCCGGCACTCAACGCGCCAATCAACATGCACGCTCCAACAAACAAATTCGTCATCATTCCAGGCTTGGCAGAACGAACAGTCCTGGATGATCTCGGCGCATTCTGATCCTGAGCTTCGACAGTCACTGTCGCAACATTCTGGGACGATTCACTCCTGACGCGATCCTGCGGGACAGTAGCAGTGCCTGCAGTTCCTGACAATGCGCTAGCACTCGGTTGCTCAGCACTCCCCCAATCCTGGGAACCCCAAGACCAGTCATCGGACCAGTGCGTAGCTTGTCGGGAAAAGCACTGGAAGTGCAAGGTCGAAAGATTGTACAGCTTGACTGTGGCGATGGTCATTCGTTGAGTGTGCAATTCTATGTCTGCACTGGGACACCGTTCCCACTGGTGAGTGTTGCCCGACTGTTGTTGCAAGATATTTTTGGACGGTAATGGCGTAATGGCCAAGGGTTACATTACATGGCCTTGATTGATCCGACTGGTAACCCTGTTCCGATTGTGCGTCAAGGAACACTGGTGTACTTGACACGTGTCGGACATGCATGATGGTTCGATTGACCATGTGTTCCAGATTGGAGCCCTGATTGCTGCGGCTCAAGGACGGAAGACCAAGGAAGGCTACAAATGGGACATGTGGGAGATGAATGAACCTGAGTTGAAGTTGATTCGACATTTTCGAATGTGGCGTCATGCAATGCTTGATCCTAGAATCAGACTGGCGAACAAGTCTCCAGTTCCTAGCACTGGTCACTGGTCGAGACTCTCTGGTGAAAGAGTGACGTACAAAACTTACAAGGATGGCTCGACTGTCATGACCTTGTCGAATGCGAAGTCTACTGATCCCAAGCAATGGCGGGGACACGTGGAATTCGGACTGAAGCACAGGCCTCAATTGAGACATGTGCAGATCGAAGACTGCACCACGTCCGTTTGATCCAATGATCGGACGAGACAAGAATGAGGTTGTGAATGAGGATCTTGTCGAATTCCCTAAGTCCAATGACCCGAGTGCTGAGATTGACAGTCGTGACAATGAGCCTGAGGTTCTTGGTCGTCAGGTGAGAGTGAGTAGGAATGTTGAGGAACATGAGCTTGAGAATGTGCTGCGTGCATTGCCCCAGCATGGAAGCAAAATGATGCTTTCGGAGATCACTAGTACAGA